AAAATATCTTTCAGAATTGTTCTTGATTACATTTGTGAAAACTAAAGTTATGTAACTGTCTCTTATACACATCTAGATGTGTATAAGAGACAGCAACAGCATAGCTCGCATGCACAGCACAACAGCATAGCTCGCATGCACAGCACAGCAGCATAGCTCGCATGCACAGCACAGCAGCATAGCTCGCATGCACAGCACAGCAGCACAGCTCGCATGCTCACAAGCGTGAACCACAAGAAGCACAGCTCAGCTCTTATATACAGCACGGCAGCACCGCTTGCCGCGCTCGTTCAATTAAGCGCAAATCTGAAGTTTTGGTTGCAAGTTCGGCCGCGGCTCCAGAGGACCGTTTTTTGCGAGCGTCCCGCCCCCCGGTCCTCTGCTCGTTTGCCAAAGCATGCGTCTTGCTGGAGCATAAAATACTTTTTCCTTTTAAAATTTAACATGAATATTACAAAAATACGAGAAGCTCGTATGGTTATGCTGTCCTATCAGATCATTTACATTATCGAGCCGACGGCAAAAGCTAGAAAGCGCATGTTTGTAATTAAGGTAAACCGTTACATCCCAGTCGAAATCCAGATTCCGCTCAGGGGCGCCTATAAGGCTCGCCATAGCCGCCTCAGAGGGAAATCAGACGCGGATCGGCCACCTACTGTATTCTGCCACAAATTAGGAGCCTTTTCGGGAGTCACATACCCTATATAGAGGGCTCAATCAGCAGAAGACAGCCGATATAAGCGGCTGAATAGACTGCCTCATGCTCACCCTGCTCAGTAGCTGATATGAGTTTTTAGCACGAGCGTGACCAGCCCTTGATTCAGAAACCCCGACGATGCAAGTTCAGGAGCACGAACTTTTACACGTATACGTTTCAACACTCATGCACTGTGTGTACGTCAACGTGTGTGCATTATGCTAACTTCAATACGCTTGATTTCAAGATTTATGAAATTTCCACCGAGCCCAGCAGTGTTGAAAAGGTCTCAAATTCAAACTTAATTAGACGTTGGAAATGCTTCTATTCTTTATTTTGCAGCTGTTGCTAGCAATACTTTCAGACCCTGGCATAACAGTTGGCTAGACTAATGGTTTCTCCAAAAAAATGTTCAGCTTTAGGCATATGTCTGATCTTTGCTCAAGCAGAAAATTGCTTATAAACGATCTCGCTGCACTATAGCGGTCGCGTTGGTGTTGACTATCGCGTAAAAGAAGTCCATTTGTGAGCAACATATTTGACTTCCGAATTTTCCATAACTATCATATATTCCGCCATTTATTTGGTGGTCACTCCAGAAATTCAGGGTGCAGTTGATAATTTTGAAGCTTGATAATAAATTTATTTTAGAACTCAATACTGTCAATGCAGAATGGATGATGAAAGATCCTCATTTGCTATGATATGTGTTTAAATGAATGCTGCAATCATGTTACTGCCGTTAGTGCCGTAACTCGATTTTCTCAAGATTAACGCGTGCTTCTAAATTTTATCGTTTGGTCTTTCTTTCATCATTGGACGCGTAAATTTGAGGCCCTGGCAGAACAGTTTGCTCGATAGAAAATTAAGGTGACGAAAGTTATATGGCAAGATACGCAAATAATTCAACGGATTATCTTAAACCCAACGTTGTTCATTCAGAAGGATATATGGTCGGAATGGGTGAAATTGGCTTGAATTACATTATACCTCGAATAATATATGTTCACGTATTGATTGAAATTTTTCTATTTGTTAAGCGATTATTGCCCTCATTTTAAATCATTCAAAATTCAAATGCTCCCTAAATTCTCCCCAGTATAACGGGAGAATGGAAGAGGGCATTTTTTAACGCACTTTTCAGATTCGGCCGTGTCCGTCCCGAAGGTATCAGGGGCCAAATACGCGCTCCCCGCACTCGATCCACGATCGTCAGGGAATAGAACTGACTCTAATCAGGCGCTTATTTCACTCGAACAACCAGAGCATAAAGCGGACATATACAGTGGGGGGAAATAAATATTCGTACACTTGAAAAATCGTATTTTAATGTATGTAAGTACACAAACTTAACAGGAAAAGAGATTTAAATTATGTATAGAGACGCATAGTGTTCAAAAATACTATTAAAGGAAATTAAATCTCAATGCAGCATCGAGATTTAATTTCTTTTGATAGTATTTTTGAAAACTATGCGTCTCTATACATAATATAAATCACTTTTCCTGTTAAGTTTGTGTACTTACATACATTAAAATACGATTTTTCAAGTGTACGAATATTTATTTCCCCCCACTGTATAGATCCGCAAATTTACGCTCTGGGCGAGCAAAAGGTGTCACTAACTCAGAAGCTAACCACCTCCTGAATTCCATTAGGGATAATGCGCAAGTTTAGTTTTATGCAGATCAAATAAAACCGGAGTTGGCTTTCAAAATTCTAAGCAAAAAATACACGAATAACCTATTTCAGCTCTTTCATTGTTAAAGAGATTAAATATTTGAGAATTTTGTAACCAGGAATAAATTTATCGCTCGTTCTATGACAAAAAGCAATTGCAAAAACGTGTCACCAAAAATTCCACAGTAGTTACAGAGCTGAACACCCCGCCCTCAGCCCACATCACCACGTTACCGCGTGCCTATAAGAGAATCACTAACAAATCTGCATCCAACTAGCGCCACGGAAGTAAATATAATCTTAGCAATCTTTTTGGGAATAGAGGGAGCCGGTCAAGTGCGCTCTGTAATACCCGACTTAGCGGGATGGCAGCTCCAGTTCCGAGGGCTTGCAAGTTTAGCTGAACTCGGTTTAAATTGCAACTCTAGCCAAGGGCTGCAACTTTAGGCTTTGATCTAAAGAGAGTCAACACCCTAACTCGTCATCGGAACCTTACAGTAGCAGGTCTAGTAGCATTATTACAATAGCAGGCTAATTGCCCACGATGCAGGCTTATGAGTGCCGCACAATATACTCCATTTGGCAGGCCCGAAAGCGAGCTGCGCTAGCTCTGCTGTTAGCAAGCAGTACCTGCCAGCGGGTGGTGTCCAGCGCGTGTTTGCAGGTAGGCAGGACCATCTTGGCAGCGGTGTGGCCACTCCTGGAGGCCGACGGCCCGGAGGACTTGGATGCGGAGGACTTGTGGCCAAGCTTAGCCAAGAGCGGCATCATGGACGCCTATAGCTTTTCAAACACACTCCAATATTCAACTTAAAACACGACAATTTTCCCGCATAAACTTATTAAAAAGTTTAGTTTAGATTGAGTTTAGGATTAACTTGACAAGTTAAAGTTTAGGATTAATTCAAGCAAACTAAAAGAGCAAAGGTCATTTTATCCGCGAAATGACGATGCATTTTCTGTTTTCATCTTAAAACTGTTCCCTGGCGCACGAAAGAGAAAGCGATAGTTAAGTAACACGCTTGTTGAACTGTTAGGATTTGAGATTTTCACTTCATATGTGAGCTTGACTGCTCGTTTTCAACGAGTTTTTGGATATACTTGGACTAATATCAGCAATAATGAGACAAAAGAATGTCGCTTATATCGATCAATGGAGAATAAAACGTAACACCAATTGACATCACAAAGAGTGTACAAGTTGCACAATTCGTGAAAATAATTGTGTAAAATTTTTCTTCATCATAACTATTTCAATTCAAAAGTTTTAAATTTTGTTACTGCCTACAGATTGCCAATAGCAGGATAAGCAGGAAAATTAGAGAAAGCTACTTCATTTAGGAGTGGAGATAAGGTGAACCTATTGAGTGAAGCATCACAGGAGCCAGCCTGTGCGAGGTCTCGCGGCTCTCAACGTCCTCCTTGACGAGCTACCGGCAATCAGCGGCAAACAAGACGAACTCTGTCGTTATTTCAGCATCATAATGACTCAGCGGCAATAACGGACGGATTGCATTCAGCATCATTGCGGCTCAGCAGCAATAATGCTGCTGCATGGACTGATTGCATCTCTGCGGTATCAGCAGTCAGAAGACAGCATTTAATTATAACCATAAAATTTCTTAGTTTATAATTTTAAATTGTTTATCTGTTCTCGGCAATCTTCAATGCTGTTCGCGTGAATCAAGAAATAACGCTTAAGACTAATTAATAGTTAGAATGACACTTTATCCTCAACATATTTTATTCTAGAATTTTTTTCTGGAACAAAGCAGCGTCAGAGACGAATGGAAGACTGAAATGTTGGCCAGTCTGACCGGAGACCGGCGCCAGCGAGGGCCCAGCCAACCACTGCAAAACTCTACGGACGTTGAGGCCAGCATTACACTTATATTTTCCTGCGAGCGTCGTGTGGTGATAGTACATGATGACCACCTTTGACGTTTTGAATAAATAAACTTGTTCGAAGTTTCCATTGTTGAATAATCATAAGAATATCTTAATTATGAGTCTAAAAAACCAATCCTGGCAGTGGGCAGTTATAGCACAGTTACAGTTCCTTTTCCATCATTCAGTAGAACAGATATCGAAAATCGAGTTCATAATTGGAATTAAAAACCTATGCCACGTAACTTCGATGGCGAAGAAACAAAGTAATTCAAATGAATGCTGTGAATCACTAATCCCGATCAAAGTAAGTCAAAAGCTGCGCAATACGCGAGATGAGAAGTAACGTGATGACGAGCGGCACTCACCACTCGCCATCACGTGCCGCGGCACACTGAGCGAGGCACAGCATCAGCAGGACGTTTGTGTGGCGCGTCGCGTCATCTCCTGCAGAGTAAAGCAGCCTGGCACTGAGACGTGTGCCACGTCTGGCACTCAGACCTGTGCCCGGGCTGAGTCATGACACAGAGGACGCCAGCAAGATGAGCAGGTCAGTAAATAACCAAATTATGGCCATGAAAAGAGAGCATCAGCACACAACAGCTGACTGCTTCCATGGCAGCTGCGCCAATGAGCAGCGATCATTGATTGCCACGGCGCGCTGTGATTGGTCGAGCCAGAGGCAGCTTCTGCACTGAGTTTATGATGAAGTGCAGAGTGAAGTGCAGAGTGAAGTGTTCTGAGTGAAGTGCAGAGTGAAGTGTTCTGAGTGAAGTGCAGAGTGAAGTGTTCTGAGTGAAGTGTTCTGAGTGAAGTGTTCTGAGTGAAGTGTTCTGAGTGAAGTGCTCTGAGTGAAGTGATGTGTATAAGAGACAGGAGCGAGGTGAGGCGTAAGTTGAACACGACTGAGATGAAGAGAGCGAGGTGAAGCGTACGTTCAACACGACTGATTAGTTCGCACGCACTTCTGTAATATCGGGTTTTCTGTTATAATCTTCATTAAGGGACAAAGACAGACAATAATAATCTTTATACACGTATTATCATTATTATGAGTATAAATCTGATGCACACTTGATCTTACGCTAATATAAACAACCTGGTCGTGATTATCAGCTAAAATAAAAAGAAATGTAAAGCCATTAATAGGAACGCCATCACTAAATGGAAAGCTTTTGCTATGAGACATAAATGAAGAGCTGCAGCACAGCTCGTTGACTAGTACGACGTTGTGGACTTCCGTGGTGATCTTTTCGCTGGACTTTGTGTGATGTAATGAGGTCCGTGGTGTTACTTTTATTGGTCTTCATGTGATGCAATTCATTTTCAGACTCCATGTGATGTAATCGCGACTTTTAAGGTGCACTCCAGATGTTCTAGTGCTCTCACAACCACTTCACTATTACCGAACTAATGCAAACGTCATAATGGAGACATAAACAATGAAGACATTCAATGACTCAACAGCTCAAACACTCGCATCGTTGAGCGAACATGAAGAATGTATAATAGAACAAGGTTGACTCATCATAAGAAAGCATGTTTGTTCAATGCTGATAGAATAAACAATATCTCATAATGTATTCATAGATTGACTTATTAGTGCATCAAAGAAATAAATAGAATTGACAACATTCCGAGATAAGTTTGCTCCGCTACACTCGTGCAGCAAATAGTTGAAGTTACGAATACATAACACAAGATGGGGTGTGGCTTGGGTGGACCGAGTCCAGGGATTGTGACTATAAAATGAATAGAAGGAATACATAAAAGCAAATGAGAAATAACAAATAAGTTCAATAAAACGTTGATAATTGAGTGAAGAAGGCTAAGGAGACGCAAAAGAAACAATGACACACGGCTATGCACTATATTCCTGCTAACTGGGCCATAGAAGTAAATTATTATATAATACTTCAAGAAATTTATAGGTCCAAATTTAAGGTCTCAAAAACACCACAAAACCCTAGAACCGAACTCGGGGGCTTGCAATAGCGACCAGTCCCACGCCGGGTTCTCATCTAACTGCTCATATAGACACCCTGAGAACCCTGGCGTTCCAGATGCCGTGTTTTCGTGAAAATCAAAGTTAATCTTGGAGTGAACAACGCGGCGTCACATAAGTACCTCGCATGAGTGACACTCACCAACCTTGTAAGACTCCGCTTTACTTCAAACTCTTGTGGCCGGAGATACGCTCTTAAACAAGACCTAGTGCAACCTTAATCTTTTGCCGACTACATTTTTCAAAGCTGCAAGATGCCGTTAATTGCTTGTAATTGCTGATGATTTTATTTGGACAAGATGAAGAAGACGAGGCGCAGGCTTGTCACAGCAGCAGCAGCAGCAGCGGCACTCTTAACGTGTCGAGGTCTGCTGGCAAAGCTGAACATGCGGCATCCGACTGCTCGTTATTGCTCTGAAGGACTCATCATACTGAGCGTGGAGGACTCGTGTGTTAATACTGAGAGCTGCTTCAGCAAGACACGCAGGCAAGAGAAGAGACGTGGACGGGTCTTGCAGGTGCACAAGGATATTGGAGAAGGGGGCCCTGGAGATGGGGGCGCTGGAGAAGGGGGCGCTGGAGAAGGGGGCGCTGGAGAAGGGTGCGCCGAAGAAGGGTGCGCTGGAGATCGTGACACTGCAGGAGATGTAGCACAGAGAGACAGCAGTCCAGAGGCCACCATCATACGGAGTCATCTGGAAATGCCAACGAGCTTACTATGCAAAAAAACAAGGCCGAAACGTTCGTAGAATATTCAGGCAAGAATGATAAGAACATTGAACATATTCAAATTAGTTCACTTGTATAGTAAATCAGATTTGGAAGGCCTTGCGAGAATGCTGACCGGCATTCCAAAAAAAAAAGAGAACTTAAATCACAACCAACTTAAAGAAAGAATACTTTTACTAAAAACTGCAATCAGAAATGTTTTGCTTATGCACATACTTGGAATGATAAGAAATGTGGTAGATAGTCGAGCGCAAACGATCTAAAATACGTAGATAACAACTGACCGTGGTAAAGCCATTTGGTCTTCTTAGGGTTGGCGCTGCAGGTCTTCACGTAATAGGCGTTGTCGGGCGGTCTTTTCTGCGACAAGAAATTTTACCGTCAACTCTTTTCTGCGATAAAAAAATTACCGTCAACTCTTTTCTGCGATAAGAAATTAATAATATAATATTTTCTGCGATAGTAAAATTACTGATAGAAGGCATGAGCAATAATGATACACACCTTCTCTTTACAGGAAGAGAGCATGGAGATGGGAGAGAGGCAGATGGCCTGCACTCACCTTCTCTTTACAGGAAGAGAGCATAGAGATGAGAGAGACAGATGGCCTGCACTCACCTTCTCTTTACAGGAAGAGAGCATGGATATGAGAGAGAGACAGATCGCCTGTACAGACAGAGCAGGCGACCAGTCCTCGGTCAGTATGCTGAGGCAGATGTGGCCGTTGCTGTAGATGTGCGGGTGGACGGGGATGTTCTCACCCACGAACGTCACCTGCGAACACAACACACAACTGCTCGCGCTTTGTTCTTCAAACATTTTAATTTGTCATGCATATAACATTGTTCAGGCATAGGCGTATAGTACCATGCTACTCACTCATAACTCACAAGGCATATCGTGCTATGTTAGACTCACTCATAACTCACAAGGCATATCGTGTCATGCTAGACTCACTCATAACTCACTAACTCGGAAATTTGAATAAGATAACCAAGCAGAGAAAACATTAAGTAATTCATCGAAAAAGTTTCGGAGACCAGCTCCATCATCAGAGAATGTAAGCACAACCAATAGAGAAAGCCTGACTAATCTTTGTATACACGAGGATATTCAGCCCAGTGATGCTGATAAAGTTGTTCTCGTCCTCAGTTCTCACAGCTTAGAAACTCTAAATAAGCTGTTGCTCGCCTGCGGCCTCGATTTGTGTCTTCCCGTTTCTAAATTTGGCTTTTAGGAATTTTTTATAGCGTTTGAGCAAGCATGACTTACGTCTTTGGACAGACCTAGCCAAGATTAAAGACTGCAGTGTGGCGCTTTTGTTTATCGAACCGTTGCACCAGAAATCTGTATGGTCTCGTCTCTCTTACCCATCAAAATGCATCGAAAGTCAAACGCAATCTGTAGAACCATTTCAAGAATTGAATATCAAATTAACACTTCCAACCTAAACTAGGAGATTCCTTGCCTTCGCTCCTGAGATTTATTCTAAATTTAACGTTTCCAGCTCGTGTCTTGGCATATTGTAAGGCCTGATCGAAATTCGCCAACCTGATTTCGCTTCGATTCAATTCCGTTTAGTTTATGCTGCTTGTAGTACACCGAGTTCTTGCCTTGCTAAATTTTCGTTACCTTTTTTGAATGGTGCCACGACTTACCAGATTGTTGACAATACGTACCATCTTTGCGGAACGCTTAAACGATTTTATCGATGTTCAGCACCTAACTATATAGCCTCGTTTGTTGAGCGAAAATTATTTAATAATAATCCCACAATAAAAATTATTGAAATTTGCCTCAACATCTTGTTCAAAAATTGTTCCTTCTTCAGGTATAAATATCTTATTCCCGCCTTAATGCAGTGCTCACTGAGTTATGAATACAGTTGTGAGCAGTGCGCATCAACATACGTTGGAATGACGTCACGTAACTTCTATATCCAAACACCTGCAGTTATCGTTCGCATTCTTACCCGTCCTACAATGCTGTGCCTTCACGCTGAACAGTGCGACGTGACTGTGTCGGAGAGCGATTTTAAGGTAACTTGGTCCCACTTCTGGTGCCTAACACTTGCGGACCTTAGATTTCCTGCGAGTTTTGTAAGTGAAAGCACATTTTATCAACGCTCACACTTCTCGTGCGCTTGAAATTTCAATCGGTTGGTTCTGATGCTACTGGCCCCATATTTCTGTTTTTTTTTTATTATTTCTTTCTAGTAAAACTTTTTTTCTCCGTTGACTTTACTTGTATTCTCTGAATATTGAACTTATGATGGAGCTGATCTTTCAAACGTTTTCGATAAAAAAAAAAGGTTGAATTCACTTGACATTTTCTTTGCTTTTAAATTCTTGGTTGAATTAAAAAAAAAAACTAATGATATAAGGACTTGGAATAGGATCATTCGGAAAAACAGTAAAATAGTAGAAAACATTCGGAAAATAGATATAGAAATAGTCCACATGCCAAATTTTTGTTCTAATGGCTCTTGTGTTAAATCACTGATATATAAAAATGCGAATAGGCAATGTAATCAACAGGAAAATATTGGCATTACACATTTGTCATCATCATACCAACGTGTTGATCACGGTTACCGTTCATAATACATTCATCAATTCACTTGTAAACGATAAACAACTTTGGTAACGATGTAAAATTATGAAAAACATTCAAGTGCAAATACACCTAAGAATTGGTCACGCTTTTCAATCAAAATGTAAGTCATTCGTATTTGAATGTCCGCTCGCGAAATAGTTAAATTCTCATGTAAGTGGAGATGCTTCGCGGAATACCCTGAAAGATCCTAATTTAATTTCAATAGTAATTACAATGGGGATTTTAACACAGCTATTTATTCACTTTCCCCCTAACGACAGGTACTCACACAAAGTGAATATATTCATAATAATAGTAATATAATATTAATATGTTACAACTTCCATAAACACAAAATGATTCATAATAATCTTCAAAGGCACAACTTCTTGACGCCTCAGGGCCTATACTTTCAAAAAAAAAAAAGTAAAGAGATCGTAAGTTCATCCGCCAATCATTGACGGGCTTTCAAGCAAAATCCACCAATCATAGACAAGAAAATAGAGCGTAAGTACTTACGTTCACTTAGCGAGTTTTGAAAGTATGGCCCCTGCTGCAGTAGAGAGTACACCTCGAGGACGGGGCTCACCTCAGGGCTGTCGAACGGATATTTTGACGTGAACTTGAACAAGAGCTGGAACCTTTCTCCCTCGTACAGCGTGCCGCTCACCCCGTCCATCATGATTGTCCATCTGGCGGCACAACATGCAACTTATGAGAGGTTGCCTCTCCCCCTCACAACATACAACTTATGAGAGGTGGCCTCTCCCCCTCACAACATACAACTTATGAGACCAGGCTCACATCATAGGTACCCAGGCTCACATCATAGGTACCCAGGCCCACATCATAGGTACCCTGGCCAACATCATAGGTACTCAGGCCCACATCATAGGTACCCAGGCCCACATCATAGGTACCCAGGCCCACATCACAAGTACCCAGGCCCACATCATAGGTACCCACTATATATAACTTTTCAATCTGGAACAAAATAGCTTCAACTTGAAAGATGGCATAGCGGCATAAAGGATTCTGGTGGTCGGAAATTACAAAGAAAGTTTTTGTATGGAATGCAAAGTTGTAATGATGTGACTTGTTCTACAGGTACATGGTGTGGCAGGAAGTGTTCGACAACAACGTGACGCTGGCCAGCGATACCGTCGTGCATATATGGAAGGGTTCGGGAGACGATCTGGAGAATGAGCTCAGTGACGTGAGATTATGTCTTGTTATTTCCTAAGTGATGCACTAAATTAGTTCTCTTGCATACACAAAATAAATTTGCTACTGCATGACGCTATGATTGCAGAAAAGTTCCATAACTTCTTTCAAATCTAAGATCATTTTGAAGGTCAAAGCGCGTCTAAAAAATAATAGTTGAGCAAAATTTATTGGGAAATTAATAAAGTACAAAGTTAACCACGTGCATGGTAAGCATTATGGAGAAGGGATCTTTAGAGGACTTAAACAAGACAAAAAATTTACCTGAATCAATTTCGTTTTACGAAGGCTGCTCAAAACATTAAGGTTAGCTCACAGGTGCATCACAGTCATGAGACACCGCCTCATGAACTGAACTACCACCACACCGCCTCATGACTGTGATGACACCTACACTGTTAGAAAAATTACCGTTAACGGTATTACCGGCGTTTCAGTGGCCGGTCGGTACGTGAAAAGAAACATCGTGTCGCCGTTTTTATTCTAATTTAACACTAGAAATCCGTAAAACATCTGATAAAAACGGAGAAACAGTTTATTTTCACGGGGCGATCGGCCACTAGAACGCCAGTGGGACCGTTTTTTCACCGTTTTTTCTAACAGTGTACCACCACTACCACCACACCGCCTCGTGACTGTGATGACACCTACCACCACAACCACCACCACCACACCACGTTTTCTCCACAGGTAACAGCAGCAGGCTTCTCTACGCTGCTCTCGTCGTGCTGGTACCTCAACTACATCAGCTACGGTACAGACTGGCACCCATACTACGAGTGCGACCCGCAAAATTTCAATGGTAACGTTTAAAAAAATTTTCTAATCCAAAATTTAACGTTAGCTTTAACATTTCCAATTTAATATACTTAACATTACGTCGTTAACGTTTAAAATTTCAATCTAGTCTATTTGAAATTTTAACGGCAACGTCTAAAAAGTTAAATAAAAGGATGGTCATAAAAGGCTTCTGTCTGCTTGAGTAGAACATTAGTCAATAAGTTACCGAGATTTTCTTACAATTTTTGACTGCAGAGAAAGATATTTCCTCGCTTGATTTTTTGCTCTAATACGCAGGTTATGTGCAGTGCCACGAGTCCGTATATACTAGTATTATTCTTTTTTAGTCTTGAGCTAGGCTGAAGCTGTTCTGCTCATTCAACAAGTCTTCTTGCCTGTGCCAAGCATAATCTTATGTGAACGCATGCACCAAGCGCAGACATGACCGTGTCTCGAGGAAGGACCACGACTTGGCAAAATTCATGTCCGACATGCATGCTTTACCCAATACCACACGAAATAAATACTGTACTTGCTGCTACGTGCATTTTAACCAAGTGGCTCGTAAAACTCGCGTGCGCTTGAAAAAATTTTTTTCTGCAAGGTATCTAATAGAGAAGCATCGTGACTGGTCGTGGCTTTGACGAAACTTGTGGTATTGTTTACGGTTCAAGGTACTGGTTTTCAGGCCTGCCAGCCTACAGAGAGTTAGTAACGCGGGGATGCAAGCCAATGCATATTAGTCATACTAAAACAAATCTTAATTAAGGTTCAATGTTCTGGTTTTCAAGCCTGGCCTACAGAGGGTCAGTAGCGCTGGGATGCAGGCTAATGCATATTAGGCATTATAAAACTAATCTCAATTAAGGTTCATTGTATTGTGTTTCGCCCTCAAGGCACTGAGGCGCAGAAGAGCCTGGTGGTGGGGGGCGAGGCGTGCATGTGGGGGGAGTGGGTGGACCGCACTAACCTGATCGCCAGGACGTGGCCCCGTGCGTCGGTGGTCGCCGAGCGCCTGTGGAGCGACGCGTCTGTCAACAGCACCAGCGAGGCGGCGCCGCGGCTCGAGGAGATGCGCTGCCGGCTCCTCAACAGGGGCTACGATGCCGAGCCGCTCGGCTGGGGATATTGTGATGCTGACCTTTAATACACGTATTCTCGAGGTGCTGCTCACCTCTTTTGTCAAGCTGTCCTTTGTTATAACATTTTCTTGGCATTTGGCTCCTCACTTATCCATAGTAATCATTGTTTGGAAGATATATGTGGCAACCTCGCATTTATTAAATTCTCCGTTTTTCGATTTTCATAGCCGTTTTCAAAGAGAAAGGAAAGTTCATAGAAACGTAGAACAGTAAAAACAAAGGATGAAATGTTCGCAATGAGTGTTTTTTTCAAAGATCGTAAGTAGAAACTTCTGCTTGAAGATCGGTGAATCCCGACAATACAGTTCTCAGCAAAGTAACTCATTTAGTACGACGAAACACAAACAAAACGTTATTGTCCAAATTGAACCACCAAGTGAAGGTGTTGTACGAGATGATTATGAAATTATTACGGTTCACTTAGGAGATGTTTTATCTAACGGTTGTTTTTGCCACCGACTTGTGGACGCTATCAAGTTAACAAGCAAGCAGAACTATACTTCATAGCAGACATTTACTGTTTGCCCAACGAACTCAATCCAATCGAGTAACTCTTTAATACGAGAAGGTAAATGAAATTCAACAGAGAGGCATTAATTGTTCTCCATTTGCAACTGGTCTTGATAACTGTGAATAACAAGAAGACCTCACGCAAGACGCACCTCAAATATCACCACAGCCTCGTGGCTGCATTGACTCAAGGGCTTCAGAGACAAGCTACCTTCCATTTTGTTCGAGGAAAAAACATAGAATACTTATGCATTCATGAGCTTTCCAGCAGCGTTTATTTACACTAGAGGTTAATTCGAAATGAATAAGCATATCAATACAACAGATTTCGTGGCAAAAGAAACACGTGCATCTCTACGGTGAATTTAATTAAGTCTCATAAATGAAATGGAACTTCGCCAGGCAACGTTTGCCTGAGCCAAAGCTCGTCTGCACGATGCAGGGCGACTGGCGCCGCTGTCGTCTGTGGGGCTGGCGTGCAAGACTTGCATATCACAGATCGCGGAAGCGTCGCCTAGAACGATATAAATAAGTACCGATGTAAATAAGTTTCACAAGAAATAACAACATAGTCTACATAGAGTGTACTAAACTCAACAGACATCCCAAGCGCCACATGCGCCGAATACTGAATCTAAAAGCCTTTACTTGCATGTCCCACACGGACGTAAAGCTTGGAATGTATCACGTGAGACCTACCGAGTAGGTACCTAGGTCTTCTGTTTCAGAAGTGAGTTGCAGGCTTCATTATGGAATGCTTCGACATGATGGATTACGAGCACCACAACATCAGAGCACAGATATGACGGCACCACAGCAACAGCATTTAGCCACAGCAGCGGGCGACAACTTCCTACAATTCTCAAGTTGCTACCGACCTTCCTACAATTCACCAGCAAGTCAATACGTGTCACTTCTGACTCACGCGCACATAACATAACATAACATAGTGATGTCGGCGCTGGAGTGTAGGCCTGATGTGGCCTGTCGCCGATTCTTTTCCTTTTCGTGCCTTGTTCACAGAAGATCTAATATCGTGTTATTTGCCCGGATCTTTTCATGACTGGCGATAGTTTGAAGTAGCTACTAGACTTCCACCGGGTTCGATAAGGAGCTAGGCATTTCAAATCTGAACATATATTTTTCCATAGCTTTATCTAGTCTGTTCTTGAACGCGTTCATACTT